CTCTTATATTTGTGCGCTTTGCATTTGTATCTGAGGTTCTGTGAGATGGTGAAAGTGCATTCCAACCAGTTAAATTCCTTCCTAGGAAGTGATCTCAGAAAGAAATCCCAACTAAAAGCATTTGATATTCAAGAGCTCCATTTATTTTCTCAGCACTTTAATACTTAAAAAAAAAAAAAAAAAAAGAACAAAAACCTGAACATTATTATTTATTTTAAAAGAAGGCAAAAAGAAATATCATCGGTGAACAAGCTATGCCAATTATATTTTAATATTGTTCAGAAACAGGATCCAGGACATTAAATAAAAGAAGCCAAATTAATCCCATGTGCTTTTTGGAGACATATAGATGAAAGATATTTTTCAGTTTTGTGGTTTTGCTCTTCAACTAATTAGACCACATGGTGAATGCAAAAAATATAAATGTGAGCCTGCTAAAACATGGTGCTGCACCTCACAGGCAGCTAACCACACAAAGCAAAGGTCACAAGGAATAATCAGACCCTTCTGTTATCAGCAAAGCTACATTTGATTTAGAAAACTGTCAAGTCTGGCTTTAGCCCAAGCAATTGAAACATCCACCTCTTTCCATCTAGCTGAGAAAGAGAAAACCAAAGATGCTATGGAGCTGACAACTTAAATGCATACCTAAAAAGGGTGTAACTGATGCTATGCTATGAAACTAAAATAGTCAGAGCATATTTATATGCTTTTAAATATAGTTAGCACTATTTCCCATTCCCTCCACGTGGAACTTGGAACATCTAGTTAAAAAATTCACCCCCTCTGTCCCCCCCCCCGGTCTCTCCATAGCTGAAGAGATTAGAAAGAGCAGTCAAAGCAGGGGGCAGGGGAAGGAGAATGGCAAGAATCTTTATCCCTCCTCCCCAAACTCTACCAGGCAGTGTTTAATAAATTCAGATGGCCTGATTTCAAAAGCAAACAGCAATGTCAGTTTAGCTAAACTTGCTAACAAATCTTAGGACACTCAGTGAGCTTTTTTCCCTTTCTTTTTGAAGAACGGGAAAAAGGAACAAATCCTGGAATTGTATCAAACTGACAGTATTTCTGCAGCAAATTTAGAAACACCACAGTAGTCCTGATTTTAATATAGCCATAAAATCTAGGTACTTTCACTCTTCAAAAGCACTGGTAGAAGCTTTGGACTCACTCCCACAAGTAATTCTTTGCGTGCAAGTAAGTACTCGTCAGCCCGATGAAACTATTCAAGAATACAGAAATTTTCAGGAGTGAGCCCTTGCCATGACTTTTGGGGAGTCACAAGTCAGGGCTAGTTCTTTTACCTAACTCTGCGTCTGCCCATACCGCACACCGCGATGCGGCAGCAACAGTTACTACCAAAAGCCCAGAGTGGATGTTGAAAGCAACCGAGCTAAAATTATTAGGGGTTCCACAGAAACAATTCACTCTGCTACAGAGGAAGCTTGATGGTACTGTGGCTAGCCCACTGAGTGTCCGAGTTGGTTCTGCACTGCACCTTAGGTGCAGATATAATCTAAGAAGTGATTCTAAAACAGCATGTTCCTGGATGAGACATGTAGTAAGTGTAAAATATTTCAGCCAGTGATGTTTGATACATCTCTGACACATTTAATCAGAAGCCTAAACAATCTAGACATCGAAGTAAAAACTTATTTTTCCTTAAAATCAGTGTTCCATAGGTTTTTTTATTTTAAAAATTCAGGAATGTGATACACAATACAATTAGCTCCCCCTCCACTGCAGTGTTCGCGTACATGAGATTCACAAGTTCCATGCTTTGTGGAAAACAAACAAACAAACAAACAAAAAAACAACAACAAAAAAAAAGAGACTGTGCAGTGTTTTTGAATGATCTCAGTATTCTGAAACTGTGATCTTCAGAACAAATCAAGTCTGTATAACCCCAGACAGATCAGGTTAAAAAAAAAAAAAAAATCAAGCTCTATCACAAGCTAGCAGGCTACAGTCAGGTCTCATACAGCCAGAACAAACAGAAAAATTGTGTTCCTGCTGCTGCACAGCCACCACCTTAACCTCACTATACGCTTTTAGGGAATTTGCCATCGAGGGCTAAAGAGACTAAAGGGCCCCGTTAACACCAGTTGGTGCTGCACGTGCAACACAGCACACGACAGAGAGGCCACACAACTCCCCCTTCTGCCCCCATCACCATCACCATCATCACATCTGCATCCTGTAATTAAAATAACGAGGGGGAGAGCTTCTTGTCTTTTAAGCTAGCCATTGCCTGCAATGGACACAGAAATAGAAAAATATGACTTCTGGCTCAAAAAGAAAAGATTAAATAGTTTAAAATGGAATAGTGACTACAACTTCATCTATCCAGATGCATTTACTGAGACTGTTAACCAGCGATGGCAACTGTTATGACTTAATAGTTGCTCTGATTTATAAGAGAAATAGGAGAGAAGTCACAGTCGGTGCTACTATGGTTTGTCTTGTTGGTATCTTTTTAAATAAACTAAAGAGCAGTAGTACTGTGGTGCATTAGAGATATACAGCAGGACCTCAACTAATGATTGAGACCAATTTTAAACTAGTGATCAAAATAATTAGTGAAAGTTTACCATAAAAAGCAAGGATACACATTAAAAAAAAAAAAAAAAAAAAAAAAAAAAAAAAAAAAAAAAAAAGGTACTTTGTTCCTTTCAAAATTTACTTGCTTAATACTCTGTAGTATACTAGCAGTGGTAGCATATTCTGCAAATGTAGTCTCATACAAGATCTCATTTAACAGTCAACTCTAGATCATATACAGGTAACAGAAGAAAAAGTTAAGATAATTCAGACAAAACAAAAACATATATAAATACTATATTAACATATTTAAGTTAGTTTATGAGACTGTACAACAAGCATAAACACAGCAAAAGGTGAGCAATGCTGGTGGCTGTGAAGCACCAACATCCCCAAGCCAGCACAAAGCTGAACCGACCCATCCACACTCTGCAGCTTCCTGCAGCTGCATCTGAGCAGCCAAGAGGCAAAATAAGTGCCTGGTGCTGTGCTGCACCCAGGCCAACACACCCTGTGAGAGGGGCTCCAGTGGAGCCAGGCTGAGTGCCTCTGCCTTTCCAATGCTTTGGCACACAGCACTTGGCCAGCGCACGGCACACGATGCAGGGCTGGTCTGGGCTCTGCAGACTGCACAGTTAATACACAACACTGGTAATCAACCCATGGATAATCGAGAGTTGACTGCAATGCTCTGCTGAGAGGTTGGGTAAGACCACTGACATGACTTGGGCCAATCCAGGTCCGATGAGCAGCAGGACTATTTTGAACTATTTAGGGGCAATTATGATATGAGACATGTTAGAAATGCAAACTAGCAAGGTGTTCTGTTTCTGGAGGCAAAGCTACATTCCCTTCACTAACAAAACATTCTTTTTTTAAAAAAATCTACATTTAAATACTGTTAAAAACCTGAAAACCACAGCATCAAAGATTTTCATAAGGCCAAAACTACCCTCAGTTCCCTCTGGTTGTGCCTAGGTATTGCCATACATTTGTAGAAGTAGCAAACACTATTTAATCTAGCATCTTATACTATTTTCAGTGCCTTCCAGTAACAGATCTCAGAGCTCTTCACACAAGAGTTAAGCCTCACAACACCCCTGTGAGGTAGGTATTATCCCCATTTTAAGACAGGGAAACTCAGGCAAAGTGTTTATCATGTCCAGAGTCATAGAGCAAACAATGGAAGATCTGAGTTGTTTTCCAGTTTTGAGCATAGGAGAGTCAAATAATCACAAGACATTGGTTCCCGTACATAACACGAGAGTGGATCAAAAGGTTTGGGGTTTTAGAGTACATTTCTCTTATGTTTTATTTTCAGCTCTCACCTGGTCTCTGCCAAATTCACACAGCCCACCAACCAGTTTGTCCTCTGATAAAGTGTAAGTTGGCAGCATACTGTAACAGCTTCTTTAGAGCCAGTTGTCAATCAACTGAGTCATTTCAAACCACAGATTTGGATACTTAATGAGTGAAATTATGTGACACATAAACATCTCAAAGTGTGAAATACAGTGAATGAAATCCTGCTCCCTGTGCCACTTCCTCAAAAGTCCTGGAGGGCTCCTGAGGACACGGCGGGGACCAGGACTGTAGTCACTGCAAGTGCTTCCACTCAACTAGAAGCAAAATGCACCACTGTGTTACTTGTTGTGAAGCTGGAAAGCGCAAATTATACTGTCGGTGCTTGGCAGACGTTCCCCGACTGCGCACTTACTGACATAACTAATTATTTTGTCTTAGTAAACTCAGCATCAGTTAAATATAAAGCTCCAGCTCTTGATTCACAGCACTGTGAGTTAAGGGTTCTTTAAATATCGAAGACTTCCAAGACACAACTTGGAAGTAAGAAAAGCCATCAGAAAATACATAAAATATGAAATTATGTGTTACTGTATCAATCAGTCTCACATCTTGATCACAGAGCAGTATGCAGTAGCTTGAATTTCCATTCTGGCAGAAAAAAACCCTTTCACGTCTGTTGTTTTCAATTACTTTGCTACCTTACCAAAAGAAGTGGGGACAATTTCTAACAATCACAGGATGTTCTCTTCAAAAAATGCAATAAATTCAGTTGAAAAGCCTTCACATTTATTATTATTACATAGCTTTAAGAAAAAAATATGCAAAACTGCAAAGTGGTTTCCAGTTTTTAGTAGCTATATCTTTTAAAATGTTCTATGAACTTTGGTTTTCTTAGGGCTTCTAAATAAACAATATATTAAAACATCTACAAATCAAATATTAAAGGAAAAAGTAGGTCCAAGAAATATGTAACACAAATTGAGCTCCTACATGCTTATCCCTCAAACACCTTTTCACTTGAAAAAAAAAATCTTAATTTGAAGCACAGCAAAAAGTGTCTCTGCTGAAATGTTGAAACTGGTTTTCTGAAGTTGTTACAGCATAGGTGCACTTTCTGTCTGTCTCAGTCAAACAAAGTCAACACAAACACATTGTATCATGACAGTGACATTATATTCTTTAAAACAAGCATTCTATATTTAGCAATATGACAAGAACAAGGACTTCAGCAATTACACTACTTGGCAAAATTGCATCTCAAACGTCTGTCTCTTCCTCTTGCAACACAGCTGTTGACAAAGTTACCACAACTCAGGTAGCACCGTTCAAGGGAGTTACAAAGATGACTCAAACTGCTCATTTTGATCGGCGTTTGCCTCTAGCTTCACTGAAGGGATGCTCTCCGACTTAGTCCTCCTCGTTTTTGGAAATTCAATGACAACTTCTGAACAAGAAATACTAAGGGACGAAGATTTTTCTGTCTTCTTTGCAGTACTATCTTCCCCTGTTCCGCAACACTGCTTCAGAGCACACTGAGTCCTGCAAGGCAACTCACATTTCCCTCTCCCTGATTCAGAGCCAACGCTGGCAAACTCAGGCTGAATGGTAGTTGCGTGAATCCCTTCGTCATGAAAGATCTCTTTAATGCGCTTTGCCACCATCATGTACGTGGAAGGGTCGGGACACTTGATGTGAGCAGTGCCAATGATCCTACTGCCTGCTAGTTGCCAAATGTGTAACTCGTGGATTGCTTCAACTCCTTCGAGGGTACGTAACTTTGAGTTCAAAGAGTGAACATCTATCTGCTTGGGAACAGTCTGCAGAAGTATAAGGGCTGACTCCCTAAGTAAAGGGTAAGTTGTGTAAAGGAGTATACAGACCATAATCAAACACAGGACGGGATCTAAATATAGCAACCAGCAAGGACCAGCCACTGTAATGCCCTCTTGCTCAGACTTGTTAGCTCTGCCAAGTGTTTGGGATAAAGTAGCATTTTCCATGCAATGACTATTGACACATGGATTAAAGCAAGGCCCATCTTCAGGGCATGGATTCCACAACCCATAAAACAGCAAGGCATTCACTACCACAATTACTGAACCTAAGGCATCTCCAAAGACATGCAGAAAAACTCCACGCATGTTAAGTTGCGCACTAGAGTCTTCTTCAACCTCCTCTTCATCCAGAGGATAATGGCCAGCATTCCCGTTCACTTGTAGGTCAGCCAAGTCATCTTTCATATCACCTGACAAGAAAACAATAAAACAATTAGGCAGATGCTATAATACCACACATTACTGTAATTCCTTATAAAATAATATCCAACACTAGCATGCCACATTTAGAATGAAAATGAAAACCAAGCAACTCTACCCACACTTGGCAACATTTCCTCTGGCCGAGAAACATTCAGTTGTCCCAATAAGTGATCTAAACAGTCTACAAGGCAACTGTTATCTACATGGAGCTTGAAAATGTAGAATGGCAAAGAATGAAGATGACCACGTTTTAATCAATTCTACTGAAAAACGATGGTCACCTTTTCCAGCTGTTTAACCACTTGACTACTCACTGTTTGTTTCTTAAACAAAACACAGAACTACAGAGCATATGTAAAAAAGCTGGTTAGGTAGCTCAGTTACATTAGTTCCCTCTTTCAAAATACTAGAAGACTAATCACATTGCTAAAATCTCTCTTAAACCATAGGACTGCGTTGCTCTTTTGTACTATAATTTGAAGCCAGAAGCTCAAAAGCTGTATGAATAACAGCTGTATAGCAACTTCTCTTCAGGTTCAGCAGTGCGTTTTCAAAAGGCTTCTGAATTCAAGGAAAAGGAAGTTTTTCCGAGATGGCGCATGGAGCCAAGCAGGACCGTGAGATACAGTCAGCTGAGCTTCTAGGTCTGAAACACAGAATTTATCAGCAGTATTGACTACAGGACAGCGCAAGTTATCTCAGAAGCTCTCAGAGGCTATGAACTAGTGTTATTTATATTTCAGAATGTAATTTATAAATAAATAAGTAAGTACTAAAATTACTTTTTTTTTTTTTTGCAAGTGACATACAGCTTCTGATGTCCAATGCCATATGTCATGGACTGTGCAAAACATAAATGAACATTTCAGTGCTCTTCTTTGTCAAAACTGCCTGCGCTATTTACCATTCCAATACAGCTAACCAGTTACAGGGGAATAAATACACACATCATGTTTTCTGAAAGAAAATCACGTTCCGTTGTTTGAATTTGAAAGGATTTTACATGATTAATCTCCTGGCTTTTCTTCAAAAGTTCTTATGTGGACACTTGCAGTGCTAAAGAAATGCAACAGGCACTGGCCCCCAGCCTGACAAACTGCAACAAGGAGCTCTTACTGCCTTTGAGGTTATTCAGTTCAGAGCTTTGTAAACATTACCACGTTAATAAGACCTGCAGCTTCTGCTGCTCTGCCCTCGTGGCTGCAATTCTGCAGAGGTAAAGTCCTTTCCCCTCTGAAGAAGGGGTGGGCTCTTAGAAGGCAGCTGAGCACTGAATTCCAAGCCCCAGGCTCATTACCTCATGCATCCTGCTTCTGCCCTAAAGCTCCAGCTAAATTTTCCACACTACCTCTAGGAGTTATGGAACATGGGACCTGTAACTTTCCAGAGAAGTCAATAAATTAGAGGAAAATATCTCAGGTTACAGAGTTCAGACCTCAAGGTCCACGATGGAAGCAAGGAAAGAGGAATGCCCTGCTCTACATCAAGTGCCTGGAATAAAGGAGAACTGAAATGTCAGCAGAGCTATCTATAAGAGAGGGTAACAGGAAACACAGTTCCAGAAGGCTCTTGAGATTTTTTTTAAAGGCAAATGGCTAAAACATGTCTATCTGAAATATGCTCATTGAAATAAGCTATAAACTGATTACTTTACATAAAGTGTATGCACAAAAACACCTGTGGAGGACTAGCCCCTAAGGCTATCCCTAGCTTTCCACTTCCACCTTAAGAAATCAGGGACTACTACTCTTTGCAATTTCCAGTGAAGGCACAGGACCATCCTAATCTTTACCTATACATCTTGCACCTTTTCTTCCAAGTCTCCAATCACCTTTACCTGTAACCTTTCCATGGGTAAACTATGAATAACTCCATCCATTACATAATCATGACAGGGCACAGAAGGAAATACAAACTTATTTCAAAGTTTCACTGTGACCAAAATTATGCCCTATTACCACCTAAATACCCACAACAAATTATTTGTTATTGCCAGCAGCACATCCATGAGACATTCCAGACAAATTAGCTCAAAACAGTATACATTTTAATTGATGCTATAAGGTAATCTTTTGGTCTAACTAGTCCAAAACTTGGCTAAAAGCACAACTTTTCACCATGTAAGAATAATTCCCAAGGCAAGATGTCTATCAAACCAACGGTTAAGGGAATTTTACATTGTTTGAAACTAATTATTAGGATATCTTTGTTGGAACTAAACCAACATTAAGAGCTTATTATGTGGTCAAGAAAATGGTGTCATGTATTTGGAGGAACTCTCCTATCCTCTTACAAAACCTCTCTTACCAAAGCCAACATGGAGTCAGAAAAAGAGAAACTGCTAAGTTTCTCAAATGTATACTGGAACCTTGCACCACAGAAAAAACGAAACTGTAGCAAAGTTCACTCTGCTCAATTAAAGCTCCATTGATGTCATCCTGAAACTGAAGGAAAGAGCCAAAGCCTCAAGCCCTTCCTCGAGGTGACAGAGGATGCCACATGCATAGAGAAGTGGCAATCACACACCTTTCACTCTGCTACCATGCAGGACTTAGGCTTCGACCAAGCAGCTTCAAAATCCAGGCTTCTGGATCCTTCAAAAAATAACTCAAGAAATTCCCACCCACGGAACAGACAGTTTGACCACAATAGGAAAGGGAGGATTTTAAATTTGTGTCTGTGTGAAGCTGAGTGGGAAGATACATGCTTTAGAAAGCTAAAGAAAACTCATTCCAAGACACCATGAGTGTGCTCTGACACCAGTGAGCTCCACATTCCGACTTCCACAGTTCTGACTGGCAATTTCCAAGACTTCTATTAATACCAATGCCACGAAGAGTACAACATTACTGCAGTGGAATATACTTCAGCATGTTGCTGAAGAGCAGCTTCTCAGGTGCCTGATAAGTAGCTGATAACTGCCCCAGTGGAGCTGCCGGGACCAAGGCGCTGAGCCGCGCTCCATTTGATGTGCAGCCAGTTCGGATGGCATTAGGGCAGCGTCTTGTGACAGCTCCTGTCGCTAGGCAAGAAACGCTCGTCATGTGCCTTCCCTAGCAGAACCAACTTTTCCCACGGCACACCGCTTTATCCCAAGACTCTTTCACACTCTGACCCGTCTGCAAGACAAGCCCTGCAGCTCGGGGCATCTGAAGGAAAGGTGTGAGGCAGAGGTGCGGCAGCCTAGAGCCCAACAGCGCTGCCGAGAAAGTTTCTAGCCTCTTCCCCGGCAGGGGGGACAGGTGGTCCCCGCACAGCCCGCGCCGGGTGTGACCGGGATGCCACCGCCCTACTCGGGGAAAGGAGCCCTCCCGCTTTTCTATGTCAGGACGGGGCAGAGGCGCGGCGGGGCTTACCCAGCTTCTCCTGGCTGACCCCGTTGGAGCTGCTGCAGTTCTCCACCAAGGTGCTGGTCTCCTCGCGGTGCAGCGCTGCCTCGCCGTCCCCGGGCGGCGGCTCGCACTTGGGGCCGGCGCGGGGGTGCTGCTGCCGGGCGCCGTGCGAGTGCCCGTGCCCGTGGGCGTGCCCGTGGCCCCCGACGCCGTGGTGGTTGAAGAGGCAGAGCCCCAGCAGGTTGATGATGAGCCCCGCCACCCCCACGGCGATGACCACCAGCGGCTGCTGGATCTCGTGGGGCTCGGTGAAGCGCTCGATGGCCTCCAGCAGGATGGTGAAGCAGAGGGCGGTGAGGAACACGGCGTTGACGAGCGCGCCCATCACCTCGGCCCGCACCCACCCGAACGTGTTCTTCTTGGTGGCGCGGGTGCGCTGGGCGAAGCGCACGGCCACCAGCGCCACGACAAGGGCCATCACGTCCGAGAGCATGTGGAAGGAGTCGGAGAGCATGGCCAGGGACGACGTGACGCGGCTCACCGCCACCTCCACCACGAAGAACAGGAAGGTGAGCGCCAGCATGCACAGCAGCCGCGCCCGGCGGTTCTGCCAGCACCGCGGCCCGCCTGGACCCCGCGCCGCCATCCCCCCGCACATTGCGGCTGCCCGGCGGGGGCAGTGGGAGTGCGGCGGGCGGTGGGAGTCCCGGGCGCTCGGGCGGCCGTTCCGCTCGGCTCCGTTCGGCTCGGCTCCCCCCGCGCCGCCGCCGCCGCCGCTCCCTCCGCAGGCGCCGGGCGAGCAAACTTTGCACCCGAGCCCCCTCACTCTTTCCACACGGAACCCAAGCGCCGCCTCGGCCACGCCCCCGCCCGCACCCCATTGGCCGCCGCGCCCGCCCCGCCCCGCCGGGCCCTCCCGCCCCTGCGAGCGGCCCCTCTCGCCATTGGCCCGCACGCCCTCGCGACAGGAGGGCCCCGCCCCGCCCGGTAACGCCCATTGACCCGCCCATGCCTGGGAAAGGGGAGGGGGCGGGGCCACGCGTGACGCGCCCGGCAGCGGCGGCTCCGATTGGCCGAACCCGCCGGCTTTCCCCGCCCGCCCCGCCCCCGCAGGCCCCGCCCGCGGCGAGCGGGACTCGTGCAAAAGGTGCGCTTCACACGGCCCCGGCCCGGCGCGCGCCCGGGGGCGGGGCTCCCTCCGCGGGCTGGGAGGGGCGGGGCCGCGCCTGAGGGGACGCTGTGACGTCACGGGCGGCGGGCGGTGAATTTTTGTGAGATTTTGCCCTTTCTCGGTGAAGTTTGGCCCTTTTTGCAGCCCTCTTTGCTGTTCAGTTCTTCTCCCATTCGTACCGCCGAGGACAGCGAGATGAATCACTCATTCAATCTCGTGAGGAGATCAATAATAACCGATGAGCTGCTAAAAAAAACCCTGGGAGACAAGACAGGAGTTTTGCGCGAAGTTTTGAGAAGCTGTATGATATGTTAGAATAATATATAATAATTATAATTGTTATAAAATCATTATTAAATATTATTATTGTTATTATATAATCGACAAAAAAAAATCAATGCTAAAAGGTCAATCCCTGCATACTGTTTGGCTTAGTGCAGAACCACAAAATCAATTACGTTGGAAAAGACCTCCGAGATCAAGTCCACTGTTTGACCTAACACCACCTTGTCTGCTAGGCCATGGCACAGAGTGCCACATTCAGTCTCTTCTTTCGCTTGTAGTTAGGGAAGGGAAAGAAAATGTTTTGAGACATCCAGCCAAAAACAACAGCAACAACAACAAAACACATAAAAAATGTAATTCTCAAAAAATTACAGAAAGGCAGAACTGAGCTCATACTTTGCCCACTGTGTTCCAGGGAGCCAACAAACACAGCAGCCAGAGAAAGAGTGCCAAAGAATAAGGAGAGAGGTGGAAGAACCAACCATGGCTCTTTGCAGCTGTAGAGATGTAGCTGTGTGTGTGAATACATAAAGGCAGGAAGAAAAATGCTGCCCTGAGAAGGAAGATCTAACAAAAATGCAAAAGCCTGTTGCTATGCTTGGAGATTCCAAAGGGATTGTGATTTGGGGTCTGTGCAAAGACACTTGACTTACTTTCGTTAGTTAGCCGACAGAAGGTGTTCACATTTTGACGTGGAAAGATTTATCTGTTCGCATTTTGACAAGGCAAGATTTATCAAGAAGTATAACTGAGGGGAGTAATTCAGGACAGGCTTCCCCTGAGCTCGGCAGCGACCCCGTGAGCCCACACCTGAGCACTATGCTGCTCTAATCTGTGTGTGCCATCCCCTCACCTTTACTTAATCTTTTTTGCATGCCAGACGTGGCTTGGGCATCACAGGCACTACTCTACTGACCTGTGACCCTGAACCCTGTTGTCTGTGAGATTATCCTTGTGTCAAAATCCAGGTCTGCTGTGGAGCATAGCAGTAGGCACCCACAGGGAATGCTTTAATGACTGCTGTAAAGAGAGTCAGCAATTAGATTGCTGTAACACTCTCTTCCCCTGCCTGCCTTTCTGCATGCCCTGATGTCCCTTACTAAGAAGTAAATAATCAGGAAGCCAACCGGCAATTATATGGAAATGGAACATGTCCGTGTCCTCTCCTCCTCACTCCCACATGAGGCCATTAGTTGACAAGGAAGAATTACCCAAATTTAGGATATATGGGTCAAAGGAACTGGTACAGCTCAAACCTTTTTTGTTTCCTGTAGGTGAGGTGAGTTATCATTTTGCAGGGATTGGTGTTAATCCAATGGAATTTTGCTAGGAAGGCAGGGAGGACAAGGAATTTAATATCTCTCACTGGCTCTATCTCAGGAATTACTGAAGCTGTTAGTTGGTCGCTCCCATGATGTTGTCATAGTTTTCTTGATCAAAAGTACTCAGTCCCCTCCTGAGGGAAATAAACAGGATATTGATATCAGTACCGCCCTGATAAATAAAACTTCACCAGCATTGAACATAAACTGTGTTAAGAGCTTTGCCTGACTTGAGGAAGGGAGTTAGAGCTTTTGGGGCTTCTTTCTTGGTATGTAAAGAATGTCCAGATCAATTTGTTACCCTTTTAACATTTCTTCACAGCGAGACCTACTAATCTGCTCAAGGATACCCCTACCACTGGTCCATGTGCTGCAGTCTTCCTTTTACTGGATGGCATGCTCTTGTTTCTTATCCATGTCCAGGAATGGCTTTTCTTCTTACTATACCAGGCCAAATGCTGAATTTCTTTTGGGCCCAAAAGCCACAAGGCATGGACCGTATACCTTAGCAGAATGGGAGAAGATGGTTTCTTCCCAGGTGGAGAGTAACAATGTTCTTTAGGCCTTCCACTGCTTCCTGAGGAATAGGGCTGCGCATATAGTTTTGATCTGCCAGCCACCGTTGTCTCCAGAGCCTTCAAACACAGGGGCTTAATGTCTAATTCCCCTGTGGCAGCCCAGTCCTGCTGCTGGACATGCCAGGCACAGACCAGCAGCTGGATCACACAGGAGTTCACATTGCTACGTCTTCCCCAGACTCTTTCTCATAACCCAGTGTGCTGCATGCTGCTGTTTCCAGGCCTTTCTATTGTACTACCATACCCTGGCAGCCAAGAGAAACAGGGATGGTTCCTAAATTTAGGGCTACCCATCTGGCAACTCTATCAATTTTAAGGTTAATGGGAAAGTAACTGATAACAGTACCTAATGATGCCATAAATGGTGTGTTACAGAACAACATTTTGTTCCTGCTTATGCTTTTGAGGGGAATACTTTGTCTTCAAAGTAGGGAGGACTCGGGGTTTTTGTTGTGTTTTCTTTTTTAGGCTTCCAGGCATTGTTTGTGACTCACACAATTCTTTCTCGGCTCAGCTTCTGATCCACACATGTGGAAGGACCCATCTGAAATCTGTTTACTTATCATAAATGCTCTGTGTTCCGGGGGGAGAAGTGACTCTGGGTCTCCGTCACGCAGCTTCATATCACTGCAGAGCTGGCTGCCAGGGCTGAACAGAAAGCTGCTGCTTGTTGCCTGTTCTCAGAGGAAATGGATTGTACTGAGCGCTGCTGAGCTCTCCTAAGCCAGCTGAGCACTGTAGGAAGAACAGGACTTTGGCTGGGAGTTTTGCTATTACTCAGCATGTTTGCTGAGCAAATAAAGTCACTGCTTTTTTCCTTTGAATTTCTGCACAGGTTTGCAAGTGGAGAGATCTCCACCACGGAGGGCTCTTCATCACTCCGTGCCTTTCCACTTGGAAAAGGTGAAACCCTGCACATAAACCGCTGATGAAGTCACATATTACAGAGCACACTGCCTGCTTTTAACACCTAACTTTTCCCCTTTCCGTGCAGTCATCAGACCTGTCTGCTTTTAATGAAGGCTTGTGGGACTCTGGCAAACATGACTCCATCTGCCTGTTCCACTTCAAGGCTGTCAGTATTCATTTTAGGCTGTGTTCCTTGCAGGCAGTGTCTCTCTCTGGTAGCTGTCCTTTCAAGATTTCTTCAAATTAGGTCCAGTCAGCAACACCAAAGCCAACAGAAGCTTTCACTGCCCAGTTACCTACATAAACAAGTTTGTTCCTTGTAATGAAAAAAAAAAAACAAATGACAAGCGAATATTACTGTTCACATTGCTCTGCATGGAATTCACTGTTTCGTCCTGGTTCAGGAAAGCACCTTTATCAAGGAAAGGACTTAGACATGTGTTTGCAGTTAATTCAAAGGCCTTTGAAAAGAAGTGAGTTAAGGGTGAGCTTACAGGCTTTTGTGACCTGTGAAGAAAAACTATAGCTGTAATCAGCATTAAGATAGGAAATGAAGGACACCTTGCTCTATAAAGAGATTTCTTCTTCTACATGGTTACCATGTCTGTGAAATATGGGTTCGTTGGAATCGGTAGAACTCCAGACAAGTTGAGGGGATCAGTACATCATCCACTATACTTCTTCTGAACCTTGAAAAGCAGATTAAAAACCCCACTTTTTTCCCTTCCAAGATATTTTCGCCCCAATAAAGAAACAATTGTTTTTTAAAAAATGCCTTTCTTATGTCCAGTTTTGGTTTATCTAGGTTAGTTATTTTGCTTTCTTACTCTCCAGCTGTTCATTTGATCCAATGGCATTCGGAGGCCTCTAACTGCTTCATGACTTCTGGCACAATTAACTGCACAACCAATCTATAACTGTTTCTAATAAACAGTTGCTTTTTTTCTGGTGGACTCTAGAGTATTTCCTGTCTGCTTTGATTACCAATTTGTCTGCTTATGATACAATTAGTATTTTCTTAAAATCCACTACTAGGCAGGCAAAATAGTTGCTCTAATCAGCTGTGAAGTTAATACTAATAAGGTATTAGTTAGAACTAATGCCTTATTCAGCCAATGCTCAAGTGGATCCTACTGGAAAAATCACCACCATATTAATCATTAAAGGAAAAAAAGTCAAGGAAACTTGCGGTGTTACTCGCTTAGGCACACAGTGTGGCTCTCTGCTGGAAAGATAGTAACAATGATTCAACAGGGACAGGAAAATTCTGTAAATATGGAATTCTGGAATGAAAAGAATTCTTTGCAGCTGATTGGTTGGTAATATTTTTAATTGTTGCTGAAATAAATTATCTTTCATATAGCATTTTAATAAATCATATTGTTAACTTTGCTTTTTATTACCTTTAGAAAGGGCATGAGATTGCTCCCTGTAATCCAAGCCAGTTCTCTTGGAGCTGTGGCAATGAGTGTCCATGAATCAATGGGTA